GAAAGGTTGGGGTAACTTGGGGGGATATGGCCATTGGGGTTATTTGGACCTTCAAAATGAATCCCCTAACAGACTGAAGAATTATCAATAATTTGGGCGAATTTTAAAAGTAGTTATGTCGAAGAGTATATGCAATTGTCGAAATGTTTAGACCTGTTCCTTAATCCGGTTCTCACAGGAATTCGGGATACGTTGATGTTTTGAAAATCATATGTATGCCGTTGCAAACAAATATGATGCTTGAGCAACTTAAGCGTATATTTCCTAGTAGCAGCATGGATACAGGAACCATTTCTTCTAAGTTATATACTAGTATGTTCCTTCTAGAATGCTTGTGGAAAGTGTTAGTGTTGAAAGTCCCCCCATTTGCGGTTTGCAGGCAGTGTTGTCAACTTTGTTATGCCAGTCAATATGGGGGAATATGGCCAACTCGATTTGGGGTAATATGGACCTATCCTTGACTTCATGGTAACACTGCAATAACCTATTGGCAGTATCAGCTCCCTTTCAAGTAGGACCTCAGGCAGCCAAAATAGCATCCTATGCACATCCTCTGGATAGGATATTTGGATAGACGTACTGGACATCTGGACGAAATATGCTGTGCATGAGGAGGTGGTGCATGAGGATATCCACATGGTGCATGTGGATATCTTCATGGACATCCGCTTGACTTGCTCCAGAAATTTTCATGGCACAAAATTTGAATGCAGGTAAATATCCCTCGTACAAAGAAGTTAAAATGTCATCTTGTGATTTTTGGCACTATTCATGCATACATGCAAAAAATATGCGACGTTTTTCCAGTAATGTAAATTCTCTCAGTTCACACTCGTAGCACATGTTCACTTTGATCTATGGTTGATCATTACACCTCTTACACCTACAGTTATATTTTGGAAACTTTGTGAAAGTCAAATTCGACCTTGATGGTTCATAAGACCAGGTTTCATTTTTTAGGACCATATTCCCCCAAATTAGCCTATAGGAGGCCCTGCATGTTATTTTTCAATTTTCTGTTGCCTTGAGATACTTTTTGCAGATGAACCTGTTTTCCTCTCCCCTCAATAGGTGTGCTTTTCCATATGAGGCAGACTTTGATCTGCGAGGGGTGATCAAAGAGGTATGCAGCGAAAAATAAAGTTGTCGGGTAGCATCTGATGCCAGGCCTTTTTCTCTCATCCACATTGGTACTCCATGAGTATTTCAACTTCTGACTTATCTTTTTTTTTCCATCCAGCTAAGCTCCGTCAGGTGGGTATATGAATACACCTTTTCTACTGGCCAGTTTCTCAATGGAATTCAAAGATGAGGGGATGATCTCGCTTCTATAACTTCTCTCACTGAAAATCTGGACACCAATCAAAGGAGATCCCTCAGGATTTTATCAGTCTTCATCATGAGGGTATTTCCTCCATTGATATGGTTGTATAAGAAATTACATAGCTAGGAAAGAAACTGTGATGATGAGGCTCCTTCCTTACATTCATTAACTTCTGTGAACAAAGCTACTATTGATGGCTGTTATGCCATCATTTACTATGATTCTAGTACTACTTGGAGAATTTTATATCATGAGCATGAGTTGCGAAGACCCCACAGTCTTGTCAGAGAGTCTTGTTCAGAGGGTGAAGAATTTCAGTAGGTGTGCGAGAAGATTCTCTCATCTCCCGACAGCAAAAAAAGGAAAAGTGTTCAAGAGCTGATGGCCTAAAGAGACACCCCGACGTCACAGGAGACACATTTTGGATATTCTTCTTCACCGTGAAAAATATGTCCAAAAAAGTCCAACATGATCTGGCTTTCAAAAGATGGGCTTCGACCTCAAGTTTTGAAATCTGGATTTCTATTAATAAGTCAGATGTCCACCATCAAGTCTCAATATTCACTGTTTAACCTTCCTATTCTGTTCCCATTTTAGGAACACCATTTACGTTCGGGTCACCCTGACCCGATATACATTTCCTTTGATTTGAATAGGATTTCGCTTGAGTTTTTAGGCTGTTTCGTGATTTCCTATAGCAAAAGGATCAATCACACATGTGTTCATTATTTTATTAGCTATGTTTGCATACCTAATTATTGTTAACACTGAGTTAATTCCAAAATGTTGCAACAAAAACTGATTTCTAAAATTGTCAATTGTGACAAACCTTTATTTATTATTGACTTTGCAAGGCACATAAAACGTACTTGTGCCCAAATTGCAAATATTTTTTCCACACGACGTACAGTTGATGATTGTTTTGTTGTCATATGCGGAGGGACAAAAAGTACATCCAGCTCTTTTTTGTTGTATGTTGCACTCAGTCCAGCATAGGAGCTCAAGTCATTGCATGGTCTAGGCAGTCACGCAGAAATGACGACGGTAGCAGAGGACAGTATGCATATAAAATATTCTCTTGTCTCTAGCAATGGGCAAAAGAACTGCATGCCCAATTCTACTAAGAACAATCTTCTTTTGAAGAGCTTGTTCTAGTGCCATCCCAGATTTATTGTAGCCCACAGCGCATATGCATTGTAGACCAAGGTGTCCAACATATAAAATACTGGCACCCAAAATAAACGTTACAAGGTAATGTAGGGCTCGCCTGTGTAGTAGGAGTTGTGATGGCATTATATCTGTCTTTTGCTGAACAACACCTCTTGAACAATATTAGCATGTGCTCGCTAACCTTTGAGTGCTGTGCATGTGCCATGTCAAGAATACGTCTATGTCATATGTAAAGTTCAAATTTCCATAGACAAAAAAGGACTGATTCCATCGTGTATTTCATACCGTCTCTGAAAAACATGAGAGATATGCCAAGGATAATGCAGCAACAAAAGGCGAAGAAAATTGCTCCAAGAGGGTGTAATGCAACAAGAAACCACGCGGCGACCCAGACGGGCTTGTGAAGCCAAAACCAGATTGAATCCGCACTTTCCCAAAACTGGCAGAACACTTGACTTTGCGAATCACTACATTTCTCGTGGACAAGTGCTCTGGAAGCTTGTTCCAAGAAGGTTCAAGATGGTGTAACCCATGTTGAAAATGCACTAGTATTGCAATCGAGTCAAATAGACCCGAGCATAACAGGAGGGGGTATCACAAATATTTCAGTAATGCTTCATGGAAATGAGTTCGGCTTTGAGGTTGCAAATATATTCGAAAAGTTAGGAAAAGTAAAAAATATTCAGATTTTTTAAATGAAATACATCGAAGTTACATCAGGTTGAACGAGTGTTTCGGGTCAAATAGACCCGAACAGAATAGGAAGGTTAACCGCTGTCTACTTTCGATTGCGTGAACGATCCCTAAGCCATGTTTTCAATGCTGATGGTTAGACAATGGCTAAACGCCCTTCATAGTATATAGAGCACGTTCTGACTCCTCGGCTGCCGCGTAATACACTTCGGACTCCGCAAAAAACGGGCGACTCGAGTGAAAAAGGAGAACCTTTCCATTGACCATTTAGTACATCTTGCAGAGATCTAAGGGAAAACCCCGCGATAGAGAGAGACGCGATGCACTTTCCTTGCACAAAAATATTCATGCCTGGAAACAGATGAGTTCTCCTCTGACCCTACTCTGTATTTCAATACATCAGGGGTAAAGGCAAGGATTTATTTTGCACACACGGAGAAGTCGGAAATGTGAAAAATAGGAATATCATTTGTGTCTGGTCACGTAGTGACGACGTCAGTAAAAATCCCTTCCTCATCGCGCACTGCTTGGACATCGATGAAATAGAAGCCTTTGCGATGGATAAAAGTTGGTTGGGCATTCTATTCGAGTACGACAGTCGTCGATGGCACCGATCACTCCTGGAAATACGGCAATCTCAAATAATTGTCTTCGAACAACTACTCCGTTTTTCCTCCTGGGAATGTAATGAGTGACGCGAAAGGGAATTCTAGGAATTCCCATTTCTAGGAATCGACGCTGCATAAAATCGAAGGGTTAACATAACATGCAAATCGAAAAGCTTTCATGATACGGGTACGTGGGTACGTGAATAAATCATGATTCATTGCACACAGTGATTGCTCTTATATTTGGATGAAAAGCTGAGGGATCCATTCCGCTAATTTCGTTCCTTTCGAGTTCAGCTTGAAACAGGTCGACATCATACCCTGATCCGTTTCCAAATCGGTGTCTCACGCGGAAATTCTCATCGACATATTCTTCAAAGGGAGTGAGACCAGAATCCATGCCTATTTCTCCCAGCGACGACGAGAACACATCGCTGATATCGAGCCGCTCCATTAAAGATAATCCATTGTGATTCACCAGTACACTGCAGCGCTTTATCATCGAGATGGTGTGCGAACGCTGGCATGAATATCGACGAAACATGCCCCATCCCTTGTCTGGAAGCGACTCCTTTTTTAGCTTCTGTTGGATATCGGTTAGACGATGGAGAGCGTTCATGCAATCCATTGTTGGCCTTAGACATCGGTTAACCGATTACTTTTGAAAAACGCCGGGAAAACATCGTTCGTGCAATCGGCCCTTTGCATCCGGATTATTCCGATGTTTTCCAGCTCATGGGCGAAAGCCGAGAAATCAGTGCACAATTCATTCATCTTTCTTAGATGAGATTAGCGTATTTTTCACGATATTTCTGTTGGATTTGTTTTTTTTTTTTAGGCTCCCCCCGCATATGTAGAGTCTGAGAGATTAATGGAGAGTCTCAGACCGAATTATCGCGTCCGTGGGAACTGTGAATTTATGAAAGTCATCAAGCTTCTCTTCTCGCCAAGTCCCATCGGATCGAAGCGCGAATTCCTTTTCATTCCGTGAAGCAACGAAAGGCAAAAGCACATCAAAGAGTTCTTCCCATCGAAGAGATGGCGACTCCTTAAATCTGGCCGCCAACACAAACAGACCAAAAAAACTAACGAAGGTGTGTCCGTTGAACTACATCATGAGAAATTTATATTTTGGGGAGCTTTTATTTATTCACGATAAGAATTGGAGATAAAGGAGGAGTTATCACGTTCTCGTGACTCAGTAGCGCTGGATTTCGTGTGGTGGTGACCGAAAAATCGAGTGCCGTGAAGCATCCGTCGCGGAATGCACTTTTTTGTCTTTCTCCCATTCCTCGCTTCTCTCGTCCTCGTCCTTCTCGCCGATCATCGGGATCCTCAACACATCAATCACGTAGGTATCTTTCATGACTGTAGCTTCCATATCGACGACCGCGTCACCGTGGCTCAGTGGATAAGGGCGCGTAGGCGGTATTCTTCTGGGCTGCTTTCGGGCACTACCTGCTCTCCCTATGGCTGAAGCGTAGACCACTCCTCTCAACTGTGTGAGAGGTAAGGGCTCGGTGCACCTCAATAGCACCCTGGCGGCCCGATGTGCAGCGATGGAGGGCCTATGGCCGGAGCGGCATCGAAGTTACCATCACCTTCCGCGGGTCCGTGAGAACGGGATACATTGTGACAGGAAATGTGGGAAGGTGCCATCAGGGATGTCCGACATAGAATTCTCTTTCCTCTACTCTTGCCGCTTGTGGCATTTGTCCTTGTCTGTGTATGTCCGTCCCAGTCTACGTTTAAAAAAAAAAAGCTTACATATCGACGGCGAAGAGTAACTCGTGCGGGATATCCTTTCCATCTAGGAGATAGACGACTCCGAGTTTTGCACTTACGATGGGAGAATCGGTCATTGCGAGGCGATTCTCGACTGCAAACGGGAAATTCCCAAGAAGGAACTCTTTCAGAGACGCCATGCTTGTTCCCATGTCGCCTATAGGTCAGTATTTCCATTGAGACTAATCTATTTTCGTCGCTTTCCTCGAATGTATGGTCGGATTAAGAAGTTGTGAGGCTCGGGGCAAGTGGATTCTTGGGTTCCCCCCCCCCCCCCCCCCCCCCCCCGCCCCGCCTGCATGGTGGTGCAAATTTTGATTTGTAACATCTACTCTACGCAAATACCTAACGTTTTAAATTTCCTTGTTGGCCCCCTGTAAAAGTGGGGCCCAGGGCAACAACCCTATTTGCTCCCCCCCCCCCCTCCCTCCTTAATCCGGCCCTGCTCGAATGAATCGAGTATTATCCGAGATTCGAGGCTACTTTCCTAGTGCCAAACATGGTTTTGCAAGGATTGTCACAGCAGGGTTGCCAGCGGTAAATCGAACAACCCAAGGCACGTGAAGTGTGGACGACGAGAGGAGTAGAGAAGGAATGCCTATAAGCAGGGGGGAGAGAAGCTAGTCTCAGAGCGCACCTATGCTCATTCGCGCAGCAGGATTTTCTCCCATTGCAAAGGTCAACCATTTATGCAGAAAGAAAGCGACTGTGTCAGTGCGAAACCATCCACATTGCTACGTGTATTTCATCTGTTTCGTTCGACAAACCAGCTACCCAGGTAACACATCCATGTGGAAACAACATTGAAACAATGTTTCATGGCAACATTTATAATGTTGAAACAACATTGAGGTGCCACATTGATTCAATGTGAAGATGTCATTTTTGTCAACATTGTTTCAACATTGAAATGGAATGTTGAAACAATATTGATGGCAACATTCATTCAACATTCCTCAAAGAGTCCCTCGTCCCACGAATCAAGTAGAGGTAAATTCATCAAAATGAATCGCATGACCTATGGATGATGAACAAAACATATACAAAAGGGAATAAATCCTCTTCAGTATCTATAGGTCAGTATCCACAGAGTACTGAGAAGTTTAAGAGAATGGGTCCTCTTCAGTTCTGCAAACAGCACCAAAGCCTTGCACGCCTAACCGGTTGGCAAACCGAGAATAAATTTTCTCAGCTCCTCTCTTCGTAGATTTGTGAATGGATCACTTCAAGTTATTTTTGTGTGTGCTTTACACGTCTCCAATCGCCTAGACTTCTATGCGCCCACACTAAACCTGGACATTTAATTTGTTTCAGAATCAGATTCTGCAGTCAGAACATCATAATTCCACATTTTTTCAAATATATGTGTTCATTAATTACGTAATAAAAATAGGAAAGTGGGAAGAAAACACTTTAATGGAAGGTGACAGATCCCTAATTGCATTAGGAGGCTACAGGGGAACATGGATACCATCTGGTGAGCACTCTTCGTACTTCATTATGATTGCGCCTTGACTACACTACCCTGGTAACATAACTTCCATAAGAAGATGCAAGACGTCTCCGCGATGACCGTAGGATAATTGGANCCTTATCAGAAGCCTCCACAGGGCGCCCCGACCTTGGGTCATCTTCAATTGACTCTCTTCCCCACTTAAACTGCTTGCTCCAAAATGTAACTCGGTAATAAGAAGGCGAAGACACACCATGAACGTTAGACATGCGTTCATGAATCTCCTTAGGTGCTTTCCCTTCTTTGGTGAGGAATTTCATCACTGCACGATGTTCAACTATCGTCAAATCCATGACACAGACACAGGAAAAGAAATCTAATGCGCTACCACTTTGAAGGGACTTGAGCCACTCAGCTGGTATAGTGGTGGGGCAATCACGAGACCTGCCGAGACATGTCACAGCAGGCACAGGCCTGTTGCTCATCCCTTTCATATTCAGGTAGATAACTTATTGAGTGGCCCTCGTATAATCCGAAATATTCCCCAATTGGAATCCACAATGTGATGCGACGAAATTGTATCAACATTGAAACAATGTTCACCTTCAACCTTCAACATTCGCACACTCGATCCACATCCAATCCATGTTGATTCAATGTTCTGTGTTACCTGGGTATATGAGAAAGAAAAGTTACGGTAATGCCGAGGAGATTGACTGTAAAGTGAAGCAAAGCGGTGATGGATGGTAAATGATAAATATAGGGGCAAGAAATTTGCATCGAGGCCAGCTAGGGGTAAATCAGGCCCTAAGAAAATGTGCTATTGTCGTCCTATACCATACTGGCGATGGAGAGTCAAAGTGGCATGTTACCAAAAAGAACGGAAACTCCCTTCTCGCGAATTACAGGAAGTATTGCGACCCACAATACATCTACGGCCGTTACTTCTCCACTTGCTTCTGTCAAACCACAACGGAAGAAAAGTCCATTCGATATTGAAGCAATTCAAAGCCATGCAGAGTTGTTGGAAAATCACAACCTAGAGCCCGAGTGCATTCGTTTATTCGAAAGGATTCCGATATGGTGATATGAGCGGAGAGTCGAGTAGGAACCGCCCGTTGCAGTAGCAAGGAAAGAAATGGCTGGTCCTAGCCAAGATGTCTGGCTTTGTAAAATGCATCTTTTGATTGCGCATGCGTATTACAAGGGTGAACTCGGCTGCGACTGTCCCCTGGAACAACTGGATTCGTAACAAGTGAATTTGAAAATAACACGAGCCGTTGCTGAAAAATAATAGCAGTCTATGGCGCGAACATCGTCGCTGATGATTCGTGGCTGATTTCATCGGGTCAAATGAATCTCCACTGGGAATGCCGAGAATTTCTTCATAAACAAGTAAAATCTAGTAGAATCTAGAGAGGCGCTCTCTACTTACAGGATCATTCAAGTCATTCCTTTTTTTCTTCATTCTTAACTTTTGTTCGTATTGTCACGATCTGTACAAAGCGGATAAGATTGTCTTTCAAACATATATACTGTAGTTGTACTCATAGCCCAGGTCAAAGAATGTCTTTCCTTGATTGACACGAGATTGCGCCTCTTGCGCTGCGTAATCCATTCCAGTAAGACAGGTCACCGTTTCTATGCCCATACCTAATGTTCGGAGAGTGGGATGATTCCACCCGTACCACCCCGTACCATCTGTGCTCGGAAATGTCCTCCACTGTACCTTGAAAGGAGTCGTTTAGGAATTAATCGCTAAAGGATAGTGCACACGACCTAAGGAGGCCTGGTAAGCCTGACTAACCCTAGCGTGACCCTCGACCTGCCATCAGAATCGAGGTGTTTAACTCCCTACTCCCATTGTGCTCAAACCCCATCTTTCCCAACCGAAATCACAAACCGAGGGAAACGATTTGCACTACCCTTTACTCCCCTCTTGCCGATACTTCATCACTTCTCGTGGTCGCGTCTCTCACAGGCCTTGTCTAAGCGGTCTAAAATTTGGCGCGGTCACAGTCGACTGCGACGCCATCATTTATTCCACAATCACAACACCTAATGTGAAAATAATTTTTAAAAATGACTTTCAAATGCTGCAGTAGAGACGTTTCCATCATTATTATAAACAACGTTTCGAATTAAAAAAAAAAGAGTGACTTTCTAATCACCTTGTAGGTAGATATGCAGAGTATTTTACAAAGCGGATACCAGAACTTGCAATAAATGGTCGAAATAAATGCCTGGCTGGTGCCAGATTCTGTATCAATCTGGAATTTACACTTGTTCAAGTTTTCTCTTTTCGCCTCCAGGAACTGGTTTCAAAATGGACGTCAAAATAATATAATAATGAAGGGTTATTATGAGATGAGTGAAACAGTTTTCCCAGTTGCCCGCAAAAAAAATTAAAATTGTCCCTATTTAAACGCAAGAGGGGGAATGCTTTTTCACCTGTATGTTAAGTTGGATCGATGCAACGAGGCTCCCCGGGTTGCATACCGAAAGGAAACACTTTAACGCAACAGGCCATGAATTTAAGAGAAGGCGAACCCATTCTTCCCATTTTCCCTCGGGCAATAGAATGACCTCGAACAAGTTATCTCTCGATGTTTTCATTTCGGTCGAACGTCAGAAGTGAAATAACAAATACGGTGCAGGACGCGATCGAGCAACGTGTCCAAGCGATAAGGTGGTTTCAATGGCGGACGCAGTAAAAGTGAGATAGGAGGATCGTTTGAAGTCATGTTTCCTGGCGTGTCAATGCTTGCATATAGCACTGTTGCACGATTTGTCTCTTAGTTCGATTCGCGTGAGGTTCGATTGCCAACTATCGGAAGAAATTACAGGGTTGGGTGGTGGTGAACCGAAAGGACGCCCAATTGTACCGTATATCCACTCGCATTCTAGTGCCAATCGTAGGAGTTGAAATGCGTCGAGGAACCTGACGATGATTTTGATCGTCGTTTGGATTCCTATGACGTCATTCATACCCGCTTGTTCGCCGAGCCGGCTTTCTTAACCTTCATCGTACGAATGTCAGATACAATAGCGTGCCCAGAAAATTCCTATGGGGAGGGGGGGTTGACATATGAAAAAATTGGTAACCCACCATGCATATACGTGGTATGGACAAAAAAAATTCTTTTGAAAATCGAACCTAAAAAATGTATCCCAAGGTTATGACCCCCAAAACTGACTAATGTCAGCCATCGGCGCCGGCGCGCGCGGATGGACTTGGGCTGCTCTCGGCTGCAGCCCAAGCTACGGCCTGTGCGGCCGGGTCCCCGAACGTATACAAACGTGGCCAAATGATTTTCGTATATGCAACACGGAGGGCTGCACGGGCATGCAGCCCGCGCACTCCATAGCGCGCTGACGCGGGTCTGCGGGGGATACGGGGAGGGGACACATGGATCATATACCTCTACGTATTTTAATGTAGACTGCGGGACGTGCAGCCCGCAGTGCTCCAAACTATATTTAAAATATCTCAATTCCTATTTCTTTACGTTGGAAAGTGATTCTGTGCCTCCGAGATGACTGGGGGGGGGGGGACTGCAGGGCTACAGCCCCATAGCACGAGCCGCCTCTGGTACGAGGTGTGCAACCCAGTGAGCTCTGTGGCACTCGCTGGACCCCACAAACAAGCGGCAAAGTATTCCCCTTCTCACGTTTACGAAATACGAACACCCATTAGATTCTTCCGTTTTAATTGTCCTGGTTTCGAGACATAATTTTGAAATGGAATTTAAATTCTCATCTACAAAGAAAGCGAATTTTGGGGATGGGTGGAAACAACTCCACTTCTGTCATGGTTCAAACCTTTCTGGGATGTAATTGTTATCTGTAAGCCTATCATGTGTTCAAAGACTTGTAGAGATCGACGGATATTTCGTTTGCCGATATGAATCTGCCGATATGGGCACATCGGCGAGCATTCACATCGGTTCTCTCAAACTTTCCGATTTTTGCCGATATCAGAAGTAGAGTTTTGTTCTATCTTTACAGTAAAAGAAAATATGATTAGGACGATCTTTTCCGCGCCCATATGGAAACCCCTAGACGTGTGATATAGCCAATATGGCATCATTCGAGAGGCGAGGAATGGCAGGTCTTTTGCTCTGCTCATGGTCCTGGTCTGGCACATAGAGGCAGGCCTTCGCTCTAAGGCTTAGGTTTGGCCTATGCTTTGCAGCCTAACCTTCTTGAGAGTTCGTCAAGGAGAATTTGAAATGAAATTCAAGCTGTGCTGTTGAATCTTCACGATGGTTTTGTTTATGCTGAAATATCGGCAAATATCGTATCGGAAATCGGCTTCATATATCGGCCAATATCGGAATCGGTAAAATCCAACATCGGTCGATCTCTACTCGTAAGTGTAATCATTTAGTTGTTGATTCACCCTATCTCGCTGTGCAACGTTCGAAAGTTCGATAAATCATTATTGGTTTTGCAATTCGAATGATGGTCAGTATATTTTCCGAATAATGGGTCTCTGAGGAAATGGAAATGTTTTTGGCATATATTTTCCTTAGTCATCGAGTATCGAGATATGGGGGAAAATACAGTAGAAATGGTAAATTTTCTATTATTGGTGTTAGCTTTTGTTAGTGGACAAAACTATGCTGCCTCAAATTATATCTGTTTTTTTTTTTACATTAGGAGTTCCATACCCGGTTGACTCATTAACCAGTATCCGTTGAAAACCCGACGGTTAAGGGAAAACTCCCAAAGAAGTCACTAGTTCTCTCAGATAGAAAACTTCTAGGCAGGGACCGGAGTTGTTCCTCCCCTTGATAACTCAGCCATGCATTATTCGCTGCAAATTGCAAGTGTCGAAAGATAAGAGAAGGACCTCCCTTCTCAAACGACTCCTTGTGAGCCCAGATAAAACCCAGAAAATGAGACAGAAAGTAACTGGACGTTGTTGGAAAAGCAATGTGACATCGAGAGGCTAAAGGAACTGAGAAAAAGAAACACCAGATGAAGAGAGGATCGCAAAAAGAGAGAGAAGAAAGGGCCTTACATGTTTTATTTTTTCTCTTCTTCTGCCATGATCAAAAGTTGCCAATCCCACGCCTGCAAGACACCTGCATTCCTTTATTTCGGGGTCCGGAGAGGGGAATGAATCATTGCGTTAATGCAAGCAGAATTTTTTTGAAAATCAGTTAGGAATGATCGGTCGGTTAACCGGTTACACGGTTAACCGTTGGGAAACCTTAGTTGAAACCATAAATGATACTGAAGGGACTAGGTTTGAGGATGATGCGTGTTTATTGCGTCTGGTGGGGAGAAAAGGGAGACGATATGTTGTGAAATGACGGGAAGCATCGACTACCCCGGGCGGATCGTGGGAGGAGATGACACGGCACCTTGGGAATATCCTTGGATGGCTGCCCTTCTCACAAAGTCTTCCAATAAAAGACCATTCTGCGGCGGATCCCTCATTTCTCCCGTCCACGTCCTCACCGCTGCTCATTGCGCGAAACAGTGCGTCCTCCTCGCCGCTCACTCCGGCGGAGTTTGTCAATAATCGGTATCACAACTCGTGCTTCTCTTGGCAGTATTCTCCCAGACCCAACATCTTTTCGAGTCCGGATCGGGGAGCATAACTTTGACAGCGAACTGGAGACGGACTATCGAAATTTCCGCGTCCAAAATGTCTCCATTCACCCCAATTACACTTCATCTTACACCATCAAGGACGACCTGGCTATCCTTGAACTGAATGCTTCCTGCATGGACAAACCTCGGACGGTCTGCCTCCCAGAAGTACCAAATGATTTTCGCAATCATGAGGCCGTCGTCATCGGTAAGGGATTCCATTGCTTGTCTTACGCCTTTATCTCGTGTTCCCTCCAGGTTGCGGAAATATTCACGCAAACCGGAACGAGAAATGCCCGGTTGTCCCACGAGTAATGTCGGGAACTTAATAGTGTATAGTCAGAAAAAGCAAAGTAGAATAAAGTTGACATGCTCGCGACATTTCAGTGTCAGGAGTTACATCACAGTTATCAAGGACTTTTCACGAATTGCATTGCGCATGAAAAATAATGCCCTCCAAATATCTTCCATCTCAATGGTTACAATTGTATGTACTGCAGTACCATACCGTAAAACCCCGCTTAGAGGCGTACGTCTCCAGATGAATTCCTGTGAAAAAAAAGTCAGCTACTAAGTGAAATGTGAAATTTGATTAAATGTGTACGCCTCCTCGACGTTACCCGCAGATGAAAAAATATTAAAGATATCACAACCGCTTATAGGCGGACGCCTCTATATAACATTTAGATTTTCTGAAAAATAAAGTTCTAGTCTTTTCGGGTGTGCAATCTCCGCTCCTTGAGTCATTTTCTCTTCGCAACCGTGATGGGAAGCAAAGAGGAAGTTTCCGGCATCCACTTCACTCATCGCGTTGAGTGCATCGTCCGTGGTTTCATTCTGCACGGCTCCGATTCGTCGACGAGTCTCTCTCGCTGAATGGACTTCCTCGAGTGGAAAGATGAAAATCGTGCCTGCATTTAAAACCATGACCGAACGTATTCAGATGCTGCGAAGAAATTACGGAGGTGGACAGGCAGCGTCAGATGATTTTAAAGCAGTATGGAATGATCTTCTGAAGGTCCGTGAGAGTTAAAAAGGTGTAAAAAGGTATCACGAAAGGCAAATTCCCTCTTCTGGATGATGTATCGATTAAATTAATTCGCAGTAAGGGACAGCAACAGAGATGATGAAAGCAATGGTATGAATGAGTCACTGGATGACTGCGGATGTGAATGAACCAGGAGGAGCTTCGCATGGAGGAACGACGGAAATGGATTCTGCAACTTCTAGCGAAAGTGAAACCATTTCGACAGACGGGAAAACTATTCATTCCAACTAAAGAGATAATAATACAAAAGTTTCAGAGAATCCTGAAATGGAAGATCTTGCTCGATGAAATGAATGTGAAAGGAATGCTGCCACCTTCAATTCTCTACGGTTCCAGGAAGGAATGAATTCCACGTTTTGAAAGCGAAGGTCTTCCTTGCCACGGGGATGGAGGCAGCCGCGATCCGCGCACGCGGATGCAGCCTGTGAGATGGAATACATTTGTAAGACGTTACTTTTTATGGGTAACGTGCGCGTGAATATACCTTGACGCCTGTGTGATAAAACTCCTGACACTCAGGAGTGTCGAAAGCATTTAAACGTTTTTCTTTTTACATTGCTTTGATTTCTGGTAATGCACTACTAAAATCTCGACGCTAGTTTGGGACACCTAGTAAGATATCAATAATCAATCGTTTGGGATGACATTCGACTTTGCCACCATACCTTCCCTTTTTAATGCCGTACCGTGGAGGAACTCAGAAAGAAGGGAAAGTCAGAAATAGAGAGGAGACAGGAGAGAAAAAAGATGCTGACGTAAAAAAGTTGTGAGCAACATTGCCTGTCCGTGTGTTCCAGGCTGGGGAGTGACGGAGGCAGGGAAGAACCAACCACCCATCCTCCAAGAAGTCACTGTCGAGGTATATCCGCAAGTGAAGTGCGAGGAGGCCTACGAAAACTTCAAAATCACGGATTCTCATCTGTGTGCAGGGATCCAGGAGAACGGAGGGAAGGACTCGTGTCAGGTGAGGCAAAGATCCTGGGCATCAGGATTCGATCACGCGGTCTGCAATTTGAAACACGATCCGTCCTTTTTTTTTTCTCCCAGGGGGATTCCGGAGGACCTTTACACGTGAAGCTGAAAGGGAGATGGGTTCAGGTGGGGATCGTCTCGTTTGGGATCGGATGTGCCGAGGCTCTTCATCCCGGGGTCTACACGAATGTCTCCTCCTACTTGTCGTGGATTGCTGATGTCCTCGATCCTTACACTCTTAACGGTTCGACTCTCCGCTGACCTCGACAAATGTCAGTAACACCGATAATTAGCATCATGGCGGTCTGTTTACAGATGAATTGTGTGGGGAATCTCTGGAGCAAGATCCAAAGATGTTTGAGGACTGCCCAAACGGAGCAGTCTCCTCACGCTCCCTCATTCAAGCATTGCTTCCGTCTTTAACCATTCCCATCCTCCTATTTTCAATCTCTTCCTCATTCCTTCCCTCACTTGCCACATAATTCAACATACCATTGAATATATATATATATATATTTTTTTTTTTTTGGGGGGGGGGCTTTGTGTCACGTCATGTCACTATTTGATGAAGGAAACAAATGTGCTATTCTATTCCAATCCGATGCGGGAAAAGCCACCCTTTTCAATTCAACCCGAATTTTTCTTCGGAGGTAGGTATTTGCAATAGGAGTCGTTTCCCCTTTTCCCCTCCCCCACATTTTTTAGTGCTTAGTAGGCGGTAGAATTATTTTAATTTGGGAGAAGGGGTATATTTTGCCAAAAGTAGAGTTTCTTGGAAAACTCGTGCCGGGAAGAGTTGCGAAGATTACACTTTGACTACCGGTATGGTCTCATTTCAAATAATAGACCAAAAAAACTCGGAATATGGCCTAATACCAGAAATACAGTGATGCTAACAATGAAAATAGGCTGTGAAAATTTTTAGCAAAAAGTGACACTTTTTCATCAGCCGCTGTAAATACCTGCTTGCTAAAATCGCAGATCCCGTATCTATCGCGATTTTGCGATTTTGCCACCTCTCTCAGAAATTGCCATTGAAACAGAATTACCGCTTCCGAATCACAATTTATTTTCAGCTTGACTAACGCTTTATAGTGTAAGCGGAAACATGCAATTGTATGACCGAAATCAATCAGGCAACTCGGGAAAGACAACACTCGGTCAGGTACTCTTGAGCACCCTGTATATGTTGTGCATGAAATCGATCGTAAGCAATTGCGATGATGAATGAATGAATATGCGGTAGCTGCTCAATCTCGTCGACCGATCGCTGGTGAGAAACTTCGGAGAAATGGAATCCTTCGACGAGGTAGCCGTGGCTAAAATTCACAGGTTTCAGTCTCATCTGCCTTCAAAAAGGAAGTCCTGAATCTTTTAACTTTACAAATACTTGCGGAAATAGGAACAACAAAATGTCGAATCCCGAGGGAATATGAAAAGGTTTCTATTGCTCCTTATATCATATAGTGTCACTTACTACATGATATAATATCGGCAAGGCAGGCGGTTTTCGGGATTGCCTGCTGGCCACCAAAGAAAAATTTTATTGAAATACAACACAAATTTCTTTCTTGCTCTTTCACTAAGAGTACGAGACAAGACAGTGATCCGAAGCGCAGGTTCAGGTCCAGAAGTTCGAAATGACATCTGACCCAACTGAACTGAGTCACTCATGCTCGTTGTCCAAGAGTCAACACTAGTCTCCTTTCTTCATAAAATCACCCTTCAGTTTTACGTATTTGTCCTATATCTTGATGAACTTCAGAATAGCGTCAGCTTAAGCATCTTTGGGCAGTGGCGTACCCGAGGGGGGGGAAGGGGGTTTGGGGGTCATAACCCCTCCCTTGGGATAAATTTTACAGGTTCGATTCTCCAACAAAAATTTTTTTGCCCATATATGCAGGTTGGGTCACCAATTTTTCAAATGTCAGCCCCCCCCCCCCCCCCCTCATTGGGATTTTCTGAGCACGCTACTGTCTGGGTATCATTTTAAGTTATTGGAAAATCGAGGATTCCAAGTCTTTACCGGTATAAGGGCGTTGAAATCTATGACTACAGAGATGTTCTTTGAGTTTTGGAAACAAGACATTGAAACATTGAGAGCTAAATTCAAATTAGTAAAGTTCTTTTGCAGTGCAGACTGTAATTCCCTATTCAAAGCGTCAGAATATCCTTGCTCAATAACTGTGACAGCTTGAGGCATCGGATGCAAGAGAATGACACCTTCCATATCCCAGAACGTAACGTAAGGACTTTTCCAAGCCGATTTTTCATTACTGCACTTGAAGCATGATAACGCTCGCCCATACACACCAGACGGTAATCATCGCCGAACTGGGCAGGGATGTAGTAACACGATTCCTTACGGTCCGGATCTTGCTCCCAGTGATTGTCTTTCAGTTCTCGAAACTCGCGGGACACCTCCACGACCTTAAGATTTCAACTCTCTATTGTGATATGGAATCCTCTATTTTCACCCTTTCGGACCTTGCGTCTACTCAAATGGATACATTTTGTTTCTCTCATGCTTCTCGTAACGTTGCGCCCAATAGTTAATTAAAATTGACACTTTTCAATTTTTCTACTTCACAGGAAGCCCTCTGGCTGTCAGTTGGATTATTCTCGCGAGCTCACAAATATTTATTTCCAGTCGTGGATTAATTCAGGTTCGAGAGGGGTAAAATGATACCCAAAGTTGCTTATGCCGAAGCTATTCTGAGGCACATTCACATATAAGAAAGTGTGCAAAACTGAAGGGTGGTTATGTGGAGAAATGAGACTTGTATGTGATGCGTCAAATGTCGAGTAATTCTATAATACAAAATTGTGGACCTAATTTCTGAACACGCTTCGCCTCATCAGTCATTTTGGAGAGCAATCCAATTGAGTTAAGAATTATGAATCCCAAAGGTCCCAAATAAGTGTTTCCGTCTCAACCGAAATTTCTCATGCAATTATTAAAAGGAAATTCCACGATAATCGGATTAGAATCTTGCGAGACTGAGGTAGATTCATGGAAGGCCTGACACAAAAGAGCACCTTTTATTCGCCTTAAGTCTCCACACAACCCAGTCGATGAAGACAAATGATGACATATCCATAGTTAGGGGTGATATGCACCCGACTGGCTTATTCAACCTCATCAAGAAATACGAATTCTGTCACCTGATATCTCCTTTAACCATCAAATTTGAGGAAAGTCAACATTCAAAATACTTTAAACCACTCACGTCGGGTAGTAAATGAGATGGTACATTCGTGATACAAGACAAATAATCAAATATTCAGAAGGGATCGGGCAGAATCCTGGGAAATAGCATACCATGACAGGATAAAGGTCAAGGAGAGCCACCAGAGATTGATATTGGTCAGAGTTGTTGGACAGTGACTTCACCGAAACCAATCCAAGATAAACATTTGAACCCAATGGAATCTACCTTTTGATCATCACTGTGAATTAGTGAATCAAGGTATTTCCAATATAGTTGCTTCTTCCAGAACATCTACTCAATGCAGTCAGGGTTAATATAGTGGTCAAGTCAGTGTTTCCATCTGCTGTCTAGGATTTTCCCAACCCATACAGCTTCCATGATCAGATAAAACTCTACAAAGCCAACAGCTTTGACATTCACACTGTTGGCTATTGATATGCAGCTGCAATCATGTTCTAAATAGCATTTTTCACATGGCTACTTTTTTAGTTCCATGACTCATATATGGGGGAAGCTGATCTCAGGGCCACCCAGAGGGGGGGGGAGGGGGGCAAAGGGGGTATTTGCCCCGGGCCCTGCGTATCAAGGGGTTCCAAGAGGGGCCCCCCCAAGGGGTCTCCGGCTTAGTTTTGCCCCAGGCCCCTGGCAACCTCTGGGCAGCCCTGGCTGGCCTACAGGTACATCAAGCTAAATCTCAATCTTGGCATGCATAGCTGAAGCCCTCCTCAGAGTAAGAATAGGCTTTTTCATGCAATTGGCATTGCATTGCTACTCGCACTTGTGCAGGCTAATCCTAACATTTAAAAAATTTCTCCTTAAAAGCTAAAACATTCAGCTTTGTGAAACAGGTTCAGTTTCCTAACAATGCTAGAGGTAAGGTGACTTTGAATGTTACTTTATGGAAATATTACATGTTCCCTTGAATAGGATGATAAGGTCATGTCTTCAACAAGGTTGTGACCTGCTTAGATGTACAAGAGCATGTTGTACCATAACATGGAGTAAGACCCATTCATAACCCACTCTTAATCAAATATCACAGAAGTTTTGTTAAAATCCAAAGAGAACCTTTTCATCACCCCATTTTATCAATGCACAAGTTCCATCATGGTACTTGCAGAGCAAGGGATTGCATGAGGCTGTGACCAACCACTGTCAATGCACAGAGTGGCGAAAAAATCCTTTAGCATTCTTTTTTGCAGAAAACAGTTCAAATATAGTATGATTGCTGCAGCAGGGAAGCATATGGAAGAAAAAGTTGCAACTGACAATTTCTCTTTGATGCATGCCAAAGTTCTTTCAGAAGAATGTTGAAATGTTGATTGAGCTGGTAAATGATATCTCTATGACTTATCAGCTAATAGAACCCAGATTCAGAGATAGAAGGGTAGCAAAGAGAGCTTTGATCCAGTATAAAGAAATATTAAAGGACATTTGGACTACCCTGTATATTGTGTGGGCAGCCTAAACAGCAATATCACCTCCTCTCTGATTGTCCTTAACATTCTGAGCCTTGATAGAGTGAAAGGCAAGGGAATTTTTAATATTTCAACCTAATCATTGACTATAACTTTGTTGACCTTTGTCTTTTGATGCTTATCTTTTGGTTGAACAATAAAGTCAAATGCCTAAGATTGTGCAAGAATATAACATTATCACAGAATATTTTGATTGGATGAGTATGCATTCATTATGCACACCTATCATCCTAATGACCCTCCTGCACTTTGGCAGCACAGCAACAGGAATGCAACACTGTAACTTTGCCTTTGCCAAAAAGATAGTCAAGTAATTATTGCATATGGTACATTTACAGACTTGCCTGTAATGGCATTCCTACCATACATGGAAAAAGCCTACTCATACAGAAAGCAGGGCCCTGGCTATGCATTTGGTTCAATGGTTGTTAGATTACGGTATCCACAGAGTCATTGATTTCAAATCAATACAAATCATTGCAATTGATCCGATTGATGATATTAGGAAAGAAAGAAAGAAATTATTTTTAAAAAATGAAAGCTGGACTGAAGCACAAAGACCACTTTTTCCATATGAACTTGAAAAACTACTCTTTTGCAGATGGATCAGTTTTCCTTTCACCCCTTTAATTGTACATAAGCCATATGAAATACACTTGGTCAAGAACTTTGGTGTGTGGATCAGTTCTGATGAAACTTGGAAAAATGAACAAAACAAAAAAGGATGAATGAAAACATGATAAGAGACCTTGGAATTCAATCTCCATGTAACAAGGAGCAAAGAAGACAATGTGCAATTTCACCTTCCAAACATGGGAACATATACAGCATGGTCATATTCCTGTTCATACAGCAAAAGGACAGCTTGATACTGACAGCTTTTACATTAACTTAAAAAAATAAAAAGGAATAAGAAAGCATCAGAAGTTTGGTCTTTCATAACTGGGAACAGTACATGATCAGCTTGCAATAGCTACTCAGCTTCATTACCATTCCAATTCATGAAATGCCTGTTGGAGCTATTACCACTACAAGAACTACTTTTTATACAACCAGTTCATTGTTCACATTGACAACATGTAAGGGCTTAAAATATCTCATTCAGACAGCAGCAACTGAATTACATAAATCCTGGCAAAGCTCAAGTTGATGCTGTCATGAACTGGAATCAATTCAATATTAGGGAAATCAGGTTTGATATATATCATAGAACAGAGCAATGAAGTGGCCACAAAGAATCATAGGAAAAACCAAAAAGAAACAAAAAATCCACAATTACAATTGCAGGAGAAGAGTGCAAGTTCCATTCTAGAGCAAACAAAGCCACAAAAATTCCTCTTCATTGAAACTCAAAAGCCAGAAGTCATGGTGAATGTGGACATCACAGCTCATAAAGTGTTCATGAGTGAGCAAAGAAGAGACACTTGACATTATTCAAACAAATCAGGGCTGGAGACTCTTTTCCGGCTTCGGGTATTCGGCTTGGGGGGTTCAGGAGGAGACATCTGTGTGGATGCACTGGCACAAGCTGACCCCACTTTCTTCTGCCTCTTGGCATGGGTTCCCTGGCGTAGTTTCTTGCGGTCCTCTTCAGGAAAAGATTGCTCCGAACCACTAGAAAGACGTTCCAAACGTTTCTCCTTCACCAATTCCATTGCTGGGGTGAGAATTGTTCCATAATCAGGATCTGCAACAGGTGGAGCATCCAGAAAAACACTTCCAGCTTTCTTTCCTTTCGATGCCTTCTTCTGTCGAGAATTGAGAATGGCTTCCATTGCAGGTGTCAAGATCTCTCCTTTCAGGGAGTTCAAGTTCAAGCCATCATGATGAATCCTGTTATCCTTAGCTACATGCTTCTTGCTCTTCTCCTTACTATGTGTTGGAAGAGAGTCATCTTGCTCCTCAGTGGAACTGCTGGATTCACCCGAACTTGCACTTCTCACATTGCGAACACTTTGAAGGGGATTCCCAATGTTCTTACGCCGCCTCTTGGCCTTCACTTCTAGATTTTCCTCATCACTCCCAGTACCAGAGCTGGGTCTCCTAGTTGCCTTTCGAGTCTCAGCTGGTTTCCATTCCAGAATGCCATCATCCTTGGCTCCCATGACTTTCAAGCCCTGACGAAGGATCTTCCGACAGTGCTCATAATCAGGTGTGGTGTGAAAACTGAGGCTGCATACATATTCAAGATATTTTGCTATTGCATTAGGTGGAGAACCTTGAGGGAAGCAGGCCTTCATCAAGGAAGGGATGTTGGCCATGAAGCCAGTCTTTTGAGTTTGAACATACTCAACATCTGTCAGGTTTTCCTCCCATGGCAGAATCCCTGATGCCCATCTTAAGATGTTGTAACCAAGGGTCTCCAAGTCTCCACGTGGAGAGAAGACACCAAGATGGGCATCACGTGAAACATATTCAATGGTACCATTGTGAGCATAGCGTTTGTCAGGACGGTCGTCCTTTAACAGACGTCCCTCCTCCTTGTAGCGCATTGCCAGCCCATAGTCTACAAGGTAGACCTCATTCTCATGACCATTTCCAAAGCCAAGAAGAAGATTCAGCCCCTTGACATCATAGTGCACATAATTGTTGGCATGAATGTACTCAAGGATATCCAATACTTTGATTCCAAGATTAAACACAGTCTTCAAAGGAAACCTATGACCACACATTTCAAACATCTTATGGACATCCTGCCCATAGCGTTGCATCACCATGAAGCGATACATCACACCCTTGTATTCGTGTGATCCAGATCCCACAATGTGAGGAACACCAAGAAATTTGAGCTTCCTAGTCTTTTTCCAATCTTCTATCTTGTCCAGAAGCAGAATGCGCCTGTAGCAGTGGATTTCAGTGAAGAGTGGCCCATTCCCATGAGGTTCAATCTTGACCACAAAGGGAGCATCAGAGCCCACTGGCTTATTGACATCAAATGAAGCAAGATAAATCTCTCCAAATCCTCCAGTACCAATACTCTTCCCCAGGCGCCACCTGGTCTTGGTGGAGTCACATAAGATTTGGGTGGATGGAAGAGGAGGAGGAAGGTTGTAGCCCTTGGCTGCCTTCCGAACTACTGCCTTCCCTCTTTTTGCTGACATTGTTGAGTCTTGCCTATTCAAGGTGACTCAAATATTCCTGGGTGGGATTATCTCGAAGGAATTTCTGCAGGTACCAACAAGTGAGGCGCATTCGAAGTCCATTTGCGACAACATAATCAAACGCCTCCTGCAAAAGAGACAAATATTTTGTAAACTTCACCATCAAAGCAAAGAATTTATCTCAAACATCAATCAACCCTTTTCTCAAAGTAGATACCATAGAGGGTTGCCCCAGCTTTCCCAAAATTTTCAGGTCATTGCATGCTCTAAGCCCTCCAGCTATCTAGAATTGTTTATGATTTGAGACCCAGGTTTGCTAGGCAATCAAAATTAATTTAATTTACATCTCCACAGGACAAAAAAAGATTGCCTCAAGTTCAGTAACAGTAGGAAGGAGCTCATTCCAGTCAAACAGCAAACTCCACCTACTAACCTGATTTTCATGTGGTGCTAAATCTTTTATGTGAATAATATATTTTTAAAGCACAGTTACATGAATTAGAGAGTAACAGAAAACTAGGACTGTCACAATACATCAACATAATTATCAATAGTTGAAGGCATCAATGTTTTCCATCAGTCATAGCGATGGTACTGTCTTCTCCAATCGAAAATGGGAAAAAAGAAAGTGAGACCAGCCCTCGATCGCAATGAGTGACGACTGAACCCCCCCCCCCCCCCCATTCATTTATCTGAACGACATTTGAAGAAAGCAATCCCTCATACACGGCGTTCAGGGGCAATAAATAGTTCCTCGATGCATCATCGACAGTTATGGTCAATGCTTCAATTTTTTCAATACAACCATTGTAACAGCCCTATAAAAAAAAAGGGTGAAAATTTATTAGAGGGCGAGGGACTAGAGGACCGAGTGATTCTGCCTAATGAGAACCAAATAATTACTCGGGTTGCGCCAATGGCGGTCGTTGACCAAGGCCTGGTCACAATCTCACCAACATCGATCGGTACCAATGCGATGGCAATAAACAGAGGGAGGATCTTAAGCATATTATTTTATCAATAATATTCGCTGTTGATACGAACTTCTTCATGCCTGTTCATTTGATTGATGTTTCTGATTCTCCACAGCAGTTTTTGTGTTGGGGGGGGAAGGGAAGGAGCCGGAAGCACGTGAGTTTCATTGCAAAGAAAATATAAATATTTAAAAAGAAACGCAAGCGTAGCAGGATGCCATATGCCTTCATTTGACGTGGTCGCGGCGACAGAGACTAACTGAATCCCACCCTCGTCATATACAGGGTGGCCATAAAGTCTGGAAACATAGGATCGTATTATGGATATACTAATATAATGTACAAATAAACTAAAATAAATGTTCAAAATTTTATCCCGTTGAATCAATACAGATTTGAAGGCGACATTCGAAGTGTTGATGAACCAGATTAAGTGAATTGGCATTTCCATTCCAAAAAATCATCTTAATATATCCTATGTTTCAAGATTTCATGGCCACCCTGTATATTTTTTGCCGAAGGGCAGTAAGCTTATTCCGGCTAGAAAGTGCAACTCCTAGGCCCTCCACCTACGTATTCTTAGAGAAGCGAGGGGAACTCCGGCAAAATACTAAATGCTAAAATTCGATTCGACGCAGATGTCAGCAGCAATGAGAGTACTGCGTCGCTCTATGCAATGCATATTTTACTTGCCTATAGAAGACCAGAACTGGCATAATCCTGTTTTCTTGAAACAGAAATTAGTCTGACAGACATGCCCGATGCCATCATTCGACCCGTGTCTCAGCCACAGAGAGAAATATAATCATGCCATGTACTACTTCAATTTGTGAGGCCGGAACGCCACCTGCTCCTTTTCTTGGAAAACATACGAGGGAGTCCCGGGGGGGGGGGGCAGCATTCACACACGCACGTTTTTCTCTATTTTAAATTTTTTTCGAAGAGGCATTGCTTCGGCATCAGGATCGTCAATATGAAAACCTGTCGAAGGTGCAGATGATGCCATATTGCCAACCGATTCCGGTAGTTTCCGATGCAACTGTACAGTCCCAGTAGATAAATATCCATATGACCATAGAAGAGAAAGGAAAGCGATAACATTAACCACGTGTGCCTTCATCATCTAGAACATAGAGTACATTTTTAACTCCATGGCTGAGTCTTCTTCCATTCTTGCTTGAGGTTATCTTTTTCATCAAGACTACCACAATCAGGTAAACAAAATGTCAAGAAAAGGTTAATCTGATTGTCTGAGCTCTTCAAAGTTAGCAAGGTGATTATCAAGAATAAATTCCAATCCGGCCGCCCGTCCCGGCTTGATTCGGAGTGAAATATATAAAAATAAAACACCTCCCGCAGCTTCGTATGTCACTTTTCCTTTTCCCGTTAATAGCTTTAAATTATGCGCCCCAATCAGATGAGTTTTCAATACTTGAAAAGCTCTCTCAGTTGTTTTTAATTCAGTATACACTACACGAAGACAATTGCTGGAGTCTGGACAAGACGATTATGGAGAGATGGAGAGTAAAGTTTTGCCCGCTCGCTTTTTGTTTGGCTAAGTGTATTCTTCGCCTATCTGTCTGTCCCCAGTCCCGAGACCCTAAGTGCGTTTAACTTCGTGGTAGGCCTACAACGCCATGACGAAATTTCAGTGAGAGTGCTTTCTGACCTGAATGGAAACCCTCCGATTTCCAACTGCAAACAACGCGATATTCTCATACGCGCGAACGTACGTGGCTTGGCCCGTAGCCTCCTGTACCTGACAGCCAAACGCCAAGGTCTTGTCTAACCAGCAAGGTTTTCCAAAAAGTTTGCACTTGGAAATTAGCAATTTTTCACAAAATATACTCAATGTGTTCTCCCTCCATGCCTGATGGTACCAAAATTTCCGAGTATATCCTTTCGTAAATCGAGCATGAATGCCTTGAGTACCTCACAACTATGATTAACCATGGAAGAAACAAATCAAGTAAATTTTGCAAGTGCAGGCATAGTTTGTAGGAGTCCTCAGGCAAGTTTGACATCTATCCCTATTGGCTATGACAGCAATTCCATAAACAGGTTGCTGGGTTTATCCAGGTTGGAATCTGTGTACAAATATTAGAAAGGGAAAGATTTAATACTTAAATATTAATCAAGTTCAGAGCCTAATTAGTTGCCAATTGCAGTCTGTCATTTCATCAGTAGTTCTGCAATCAAACCAATTTTCAGACAACTTACCTTTGCTAAGACCTTTGCAATGCCCTGTCCACGGTAGGCTTCTGGAACTTCTGTATGAAACAAGTCAAGAACTCCAGAAGGAAGAATGTTGTAGTTGATGAAAGCTCGATCTAAAATGCAATGGTGTGGGATGTATCAATAATAATATATGTGAAGATAATATTAGCCTAATAAACACAAAATAATACAATATAATGATTTATAATAATAAATAAAAACATTAAGTTAAGAAGGGTCAGGGGCCAGGAAACAGCTATTTATTCCCAGGGGAATATCAGCAACATCAATCCTACCCCAGTTAGGAAATCTTGACCTTATATTCTGCTTCTGAGGAATTCTTACACCCAATGCAGGCAGCTCTGCTTGCACATACTTTCATCATGCTACATTTATATTTATATATCCAACAAAAGATTGGGATCGCTTATAATGCAAATGTTCAAACTTGAAATTATATCAAAATTTGAGTTCATCCATAGGGAATTCTGAAATTTGATGTGGCTGCTTCCCAGGATGGCATTTCTCTTGCAACAACTATACAGGAGCAACCACATATAGACATGGGTCCTGTTCTCTTTATAGTACAGCAATGAAAAAGAAAAGGAGACCACACAACTGATTTAGTAGATTGTGATAGTAATATCCAGTGATAATTTGTCATGCTGTAGCTATGCATTGTTAGGGACAAGTAATCCTAACTTTTTAATTAATTGGCTGATATTCTGTGCTGCTTATATACTGTGTCAAGAGATGGAAGCAATAATTTTCAGAAAAGGAAGACTTTTACTTTTTCCAAGCATGAAATGTTCACTCTTTTTGATAGATACAGCATTACCAGGATATTTGTGAGTGAAGAGAATTACAAAGAAATTGGGACAATTAAGAGGGTTGATACCAGTCTCCTCTTGATTTCATATTATAATGTTAGCCTAGAAAGTAGCTGGTCTCTTCAAGGGAGCTTCATGCAATAAGGAAGTCCAGCGGTATGATATATGCCTAACATAGACTGGCAGGGGGGTGCAAAACTAGGCATGCATGAAGGGCATGCCAGGGATATGCTTAGCCTATGCTTAGCCAAGATTGCCCTTAGCTACCCAGGATGTAGCCAGTTGCATGCATGATAGGCCTAGACAGGGGCATTTTTAATTTCTCAAACCTTTTCCCACCTGAGTAAGCAGGAGAGGGTCTGGGAAGTGAGCCTAAATGGGGAACTCACTGACCTATCATCCCACATTGGATGACTTGCCAATCTGCTGATGCGTCTTTCTGCAGGCTTACTCTCAACCTGTCCACAAGACCATATTGTCCATCATATTCCTCAACTGTAGCCATTTTCATTTATCAGTTGAAGAGTTATCCCATTTGGGCTGGGTAAGTATAACATGTACCACACAAATGCCATCCAAGCCAAAGCATAAGTTCACTCAAACTTTGCCACGAGCACACTCAACATTCCTGAGCAATCTTGCATATCTTAACATTAGGCCTGTGACATAACTTGACCATAACTGGCCAATAAGACCAAACCCAAACCATATTCATAACATGGGTATGATACAATATATTGAAGATCCAAAAGGGGGGAAACAACTAAACTCGAAGACTTCAGTAATGTGCACCTTGGCTTGAATACTTTGGTTAAAGGGTTCAGGTGCAACTAGATGTGCTCTCAGATGGATAAACTCAATTGCTTAAGTTTCCTTCTAACATTGAAGATGCTGTCATGCTAATGTTTCTGCTAGCTGGTGACAGCAAGGACTAGGTAATGGAAAAAAAAAATGAAGCTACTACTATGCATAATAAAAAAAACCAAGGCAATTAAGTCTGTGACAGGGGTAGCTCTATCGCCCCCTACTCCCCCCTCTCACTTTCACCCTTTCTTTTTGCATTTTCTCTTCTACTAAAACAAAACAATAATAAATGATTCTTCGTATATATATTATTTTCTTTCACAAAGACCCAATGGTCACAGAACGTGCAAAGGGATCTAGCAGACACTAGTTGCATGGATGACTGGGGACAAGCAGTACAGCTGGACAGATACAGGGAGAGGAGGAGGAATTCAACACTTGAGTCATTGTGTCCATCAGTTTGGCTCAGTGCTGAGCTGTTTAAGTCAAGTTGCAATGTGTACATTTTAGCATGTCATATCTGAGGTAGTGTGCCTACCTGTTGACAGTCACTGAAGATTTAATAAACCCATGACTTGACCCTTGAAAACAGGCAGTTCCAGAAAGGGACAAATGTACATAATTTCCTGATTGGGCTGGTTAATAAGGGCTCTGAGAATCCCTGGTGGAAAGTGTACCATAGGGGACCACCAGCAGAATGATATACAACGTGTATCATTACAAACTCTTGATGCCTAAATTGCATTTGTGCACATTTTAGAGAAAGTTAAGAAAAGAGGTTGTAATTTTAATGTTAAGATGCGTGGGTTTAAAGCGAGGGAAGCATGAAGCAGCGGGCAAACACACAGAAATGGTGGAGCCATATTGAACAGAGGGCAAGAGTGCCCTTTTCCATTGGCATGGAAAGCCTCTTCACAGCCCCTGTATTCCCCTTAGAATAATTTAATCAATTGGGTGCTAGACACTTAGACTATTGTTTCATCAGTTTTTTTGGGTTTTCACTAAACCCAAGCACACAACATAGATATAATGATAAACATATACAAAGGGAGTCACATTCCTTCTATGTTGGGCTGAAAGGGTGGGAAAGTAAACCATTTTTGGAAAATGATTGAACAGTTCAATTATCAAATAATCATGGCCTTCAGCCACAACCCTTTCCTAACCCAACTAAGCCCAACATCATCCTCCAAATTAGGTTGACTTTCTCACTCTTAGGCCTTTGACAGTGAACCTGGGAGAAAAATGGGGGTCCACCAACTGTGCCAGTACAATGACAGATCTCACTGAAATGATGAAGACTAGACCAGAAGAGCATAAAAAGCCCGACTCAAGCTATGAGACTCAAGTCAGGTCAGTCCTCCGACTAACCTCCAACCCCAGTACAGTGCACATGCCTGGGAAGGCCATGCCATAGCTGGCAGATACAAGAGCCTGGGTGGGCACATGACATGGCTCCTCCAGGATGCTCACAGAGCATAACTATTATATCTACACATTAATATTATGGACTCATGCCTCAAATCTCTCAGCTGAAACAGATATCACTGTAATCTACTGATAAATTATTTTCATATGATATATCTCTCGTACCATTCTGCTGGTGGTCCACAATGGAGCTCTATCCTGAGTTTCCATCAAGATGCTCAATAGCAAACATAAGTATGACATTCTTTAGGCAGTTCTCATATCTCCAACTCCACGGAGGGTTGATAAAAAAAAATTTAAAAAACAAGTTCATTTGCAATGCAGGAGAGCACTGGGGTCCCCATCACCTGCTATCCCCATCATAGCATAGCACTCCTATACCCTCATGGCATATGCCATAGGACAAGGGCACAAAACTTGTTGTAACATGTGACTGTCTGGCTTAGGCTGATTAGCAATAATTCCTTCCCCATAGTAAGGAAAGTGTTTTAGAGTATTACTTATAAAATCTCTTCAAGTACATTCCTTGCCACCTCTCTCTCTCTTAAGTCAGCAATACAGCAAGAGATGAGAAAGGAAGGAAAGTACAGAGGGGAATATGGTATGCTGCAAGGGAGATCATGACAGCAGTGACAGGGACTATTGAGCGATGGACTAGGGGTTGCTTGTATCTCCATGAAAGTCAAATGCAGTTAACTGATGTCAATGAGAATATCATATACAGTTGTGTGAATATAGATGTTCAATGCTCAATTTTCTACCTTGAAGAAATGGACAAATCAGTATATTCATTTCCAAGGTTCCACTGGATGGCTCTGATAAAACATGGATGCAAAGGTGGGAACTGGCTGTGAGTATGAAAGTCAGTGGATGGAAAAGGTGGTCTGGTGAGAGGATGCACAAACTGTTAAGACCAGCCTATGGTGGATTTGAATCCTACAGTTACCAAGCACTTTAAAGGCGCCTAGCTGGGTCAAATCAACCGCTCCTCTGTTGACAGCAAGGAAGGAGTCTATGTTATTAGAATGTGTCCGCCAAAGCCAACTCCTATTGTTCCAATCTCTTTGTTCCAATTTTACCTAACTTTATTACTACTGGCGAATTGTGCTGGTAGGCCTACAACTGCAGGTTTACCGATCGCCAAGGCTTAGGCATATCAGTGTTGCGACACAGCGATACGATCTTACATGAAAAAAAAAGCTAAAATAAGCTTAGGCCTACCTAACATACCTCTGTCACTCAAGATGACGACGAATTGCTGGCGGCCATTATCATGGACAACTTGGTGCGCCGGGGAAAACGACATGCTGAGAAATCGGCATGGGGCAGTTAATGCATCGAGATTTCCAGACCAAAGTAACCTTAACACGCTTCCAAAGTTACTAGGTCTATACATAGGCTTTGCTAAGTAACCAGGAAAAGGTAAAAACACCAGCCTCCTAAGTCATTCGACCTGAATGGGACAATTCGTCTTCTATACAGATGCCAAGTTCCCATCTCGGATGTATCTATTTTCAATTATCAATAGTAAATAGTGGACAATGATAAAACTAGTAATATTATGTAGATAGCTTTTAACAACTTCACACATACAGTGCCATCGCTTTCTCTAAGATAATTGTCAGTATTTTCCTGGAAAGAAACTTAGGTTTCATGTTTACGAATGACATCTATGGTTCTGCGGCGCGCGAGATATCACTGGATGAGATCCCCGGCTGCTGTCGACATCTCGCGGTGAAACCTGAGAACGGCAATGTGACATGCTTTTTTAAACTCGATGCTTTTAAAATCGATGGTTGGTTGTGAATTTATCGACAGTTGGCAGTTCTAGAGTTAAGGAATAACTTCCCGCTCCCAGTGCATTTTCGAGCTGCAATAGTCCAGTCTTTTCCCCAGGATTCCCAGCAAACAGTAACGTTGTGGGAACTTTCCCCTTGAGTCAATACAATGTCATCGACGTTGATGGTCCAAGTCCAACGTTGCGTGAATATTATAGCAGTGTTACGGCACTATGATACCTTCTTAAATCGCGTTTTTTTAATAATATTTCTGGTAGTATCATGAAGCATGCATCGCCAAATAGGGAATATTTTTTTTTTCATGAAGCCACCGAGAACCTATCCAATGTTACCAATCAATGTTGATGGAATGCTCTGCTTCGACATTCAGCAGCGTCATTCATCAGGGATTCTAGGAACATGTTGTAAGATGAAAACTCCAAAGCGCTATAAAACGTTGAATCGCTGTTCAGAAGAAGCTCTGATATGGAACATGTGTGTGCTTCTTGGGAAATGTTTGACCAATCTTGAACTGCACCCAACCCCAGTAGCACCAGGTATTGACTCAATTCTGGACCAACATTGGACACGTTGTCTATATACGTCTTTTCATTATTGCCAATACCGGGAAAATATTGGCTAAATATTGACCTCGATATTGCCATTCCATCATCTATCCAATATCGGACTGACGAGATGATCCAATGGGCTCAAGTTGCACGTAGTTTTTTTTTTCGGGAAATGGTGAAGTTCTTGATGGAGGTATTGGTCCCGCTTTTCGCACAGTACACAAAAGCGCACTTCTCTCTTTCCATGGAATCATTCCTCACAGGAGTGTTTAGCACCTCACCATACGTCTTTCCTAGTCTCGTTATAGCAATTAATAAAATCGGACACTTAATCATTTACTATCCCCATATTCGAGACAGAATCATGGAGCCCAGGCGATAAACAAGCTCATATCCACTATGAGATCTCCTTGCACGTTGGGTTTTGTGGAATTCAAAGGGATTTCGAATCTCCGAAGGGTGAGACAGGATTCTGCTAAAACCTCGGGTTTAGCGGAATCCTCTCAAAGTCGTGTTAATGTTACTAACCTTAGGGAGCTTCCATATCTCCCTGGCTCGAAAATTTCACTTCCCGCGTCTTGTCCAGCCGAGGGCAATTCTCCTTTCTTTTGCGTTGACGGATTATTTAAGGCTGAAGAATACCGCGCCTGATTCTGCCTGCACTAACGAAGGAAGAGAAGCTTGGAAGGCAGTGGTTGCGTCAACGTAGGCGAAGGCTTTGAGGGCAGAAACAAGCTACGCCAGTGCGGGTGCAGGATCCATCTATTGTACAAGTGCAAGAAGTATTGTCGCACCAACAGATGCAGCTGTAAAAAAAAAAACTAGGCAAATGGCCTGACATGCTCATCCAAGTGTCATGGGGGAAAGCCGCGCAACCTCCCAAAATAAGACAAATATATTGTTAATAGACTCCGCTTCGAATCTTACTGAAGTTGATTTTTTTTCTTTCTATACATGGACTGAAATGAAGTTCCATTTCCCCCGGGTGTCTTGATAATTCTCTTTCTCCCTAGGTATTAACAAAATGATGGAAGCATTGGCAGCTAAGCCGGGTGATTTGGAATCCCCCTGGGGGGAGGTGACATAATGGAGGTTTTCGAGAGGATTCCGCGAAACCCGCGGGTTTGGGGGAATCCTGTCTCTCCCTAGGGAGATTCGAAATCCCCTGAATTCCACAAAACCCCACGACATATTCATTGTTAACATCAGCCACTATCAGTCGGCTTCTGGATGAAGGCCCCTTCCATCTGCCGCAAAAGTCTTGAGCTTCTCTGTTCCATGTTTCGTCTGCTCTCTTTAACTATTTCAATTTCTGTCTTCCCCTGTTCCTTGTAGCACCTCTTGGGTACCATTCAGTGATTATCTTAGTCCATCTTCCATCTAGCTTTCGGGCAAGGTGCTCTGCCCATTATATTGGTTAAGGTATATTGCCTGGTGTTAACTTGAGGAGGCATTAATCCTGGCATGTATGGATCTCGTAGCTCTTACATTTTCTGCATAAAAATTGAACGATGCGTTGCTTACCTTTTGCTTGTAAACCACCCTCTTCCCAGACCTTCTCCTTCGACGTACCTGTCACTCTTATTTTCCTGGGAATTCTATGAAATTCTACCAAATGAAAATCGGTCCGGGACAGTAAAGCAGATCAATCGATTGGATTGGGATTTGGGAGACAGACAGGGATGCTTTGGATCCGGTGACAGGCGAAGGCTAATGATCCAGTGTTTACATTGCGATGCGTTCCTAAAAGCTCTTTCGAATCTGCTACAAAGCTGGGTATTTGAGCTCCCTTTTATGGGCTATCTCAAACAAGGGCGCAGCGATAACCTCGCGTTAGACCCCAAATGAAACTCTAATGATCGCCATGCTCTACTCGTACGTGAAAGAGGAAGGGCTATTAATGTACGATACGAGATTCGTGCAGAGCGAAGATAACCCCCAGATCGCAACCGAGGCTATTAAATACAAATAATGGTGGAAACATTATGAGGTCGGTCCTTCCGTCACCCGATTCTTTAAAACTTCACGACGATCCATGCCGACAGAGCTCTCGTTTTAGGGAAGTTACAGATTGTTGAAGTGCGTCACTTTTCTCAAAAGTAGTTGAGGTGAAACTATTGAATAAAGAAAAACCACATTTGAGATAAATATCACTCTAAGTATAGTTTAACTTTCACTTGAAAATAATTTCTTGATCTTTTAAATTTTTCTTTAATTAAGCAGTGCATGAATTTATGCATAATATTCCCCTGTGGGCACATTCTTTGGAGGCTACTTCTCCCGAATGCTTTTTTTTTGCTGCAGTGGAATGGCCATGTATGATTTAGAAAAAAATGTCGAGTGAAATTTGATACGAATTGATCGTTAAGGTCAAGCGAGTTTCTACTTTTGGGGTACGTCTTCTGGATGCGCAAGTTTTGGAGAGGCCTTTCCCCCGATATTTGTTCGCTTCAGCAAGATAGCATGTATACAAGATAGACAAGAAGTTTGTTTACTTATTTCGGCCCTGTTTCTCGGGTTCTGAAAAGAGTCTTTGCACTTGAGTTGGACACTCGTGCACATTCATTCACGAAACAATTTTTTTTTGGAGTACTGTTTTTGATGAAATTTCTCAGGGCTCTGAGCATTGACCGAGAGAACTTTAAGACTCGAAAAAGAGCACATTCTTCCATCCTTGTTAGCGACGTGAAATGCGCCATCATTTCTCAGAAAATTTCCCGTACTCCAAACGGTCCCCTTTCTCGGATTTTAAATTTTCAAATGCAAAGAACCTCCATTGCGTTTCAATGGTAATTTAATTTCGTTTGAGCCGTCCCATGCCGTTCTCCCGCAGCCCCTCACCGGATTTCACCATTTCACGCTCAAAAATCCAAAACGCAGAAGAAATACACTCTGGGCATGAGCAGCTATTGCAGGGAATTTCGACCTTGGAACAGCGGCGTAAGGAAGATTACCTTTTGTAAGGTCTTGGTTGAGTTTTCCAGTTTTGGACCGAATTAGCATTTACCGCACGGAAATTACCTTACCTGACACCATTGACCTTGCATTTGAAGGGCATGCGGCAGTGGCGTAGCCAGGTTTTCATCAATGGGGGGGCTAAGCAGAAAGTTGGGGGGGCTAATTGGGGGCTAAGCGGAACGTTGGGGGGGCTAACTTCGCCTTGTCAGGTTGGGGCGGACGCCTTTCGACCAGAGTTGGGGGGGCTTGAACCAAACTTGGGGGG